CGATAATAATATTATTTCGACAGGTAAGTTTTTAATACCTGCTTCACCAGACCAGGATTACAAAATGTTAGAAAAACTTTCAAAATTTAAAAATAAATCACAATCGCTAACATGGATGTCTGAATAAATTTAAACCATTTTGTAATCCCGGCTTGATGAGGCAGGTATTAAGAATTTACCTGAAAATATATATGGATTTTTTAATCCGACATTATTACATTAAAAATTTTAGTGGCTATCCATATATGCGTAGAGGCTCCGTTTATTTTAAACAGTATTTACCTTGTCTAGTGACCTACGAACTCGAGAAAACTTAACAAAGAGATTGTGCCCTCTGGCAGGATTCGAGCCTGCGTCTCCACCTGCAGAAAGAAAGCAATCATCCGATCCGGCGTTCTTGAACCGTTCGACTACGAAGAGCGTTGCAATAAAGCAAAGTTCTATTTTAGAATTAAACCGACTCAATTCGTATTTTCTCGAAACAGATATCTGCTCAGTTTCGTAACCGAAATGTACACAATGTACTTTCTAAGAATTAATAAACTTTATGTTTTAATTCAACATATTATTATTACGTCTAACGTTATTTTAGTGGATATATACATACATACATGCGTACATACGTACGGACATAGATAGATGCATATATACGTAGATACATATGTGTTTAAAATGGGATATAGAATCTCAATAAAGGTTTTAAAAAATTGGACTAATGGAAAACATTTATTTGAAAATAGATTTGATTTCGCGTTTCGTCATTCTACATATATGCATGTATGTATATATGTATGTAATATGGGTATATGGCGTGTTGATACGTGAATTATTTTATTATTATTATTATTATTATTATTATTATTATTATTATTATTATTATTATTTCCTGGATCCCAACCAGAGACATAAGGTCAGAAATAGACAACATGACATTTTATTGTTTTATTTCCTTTGGTTTCTGGTGGATAACCATTTCCTTTCTAAGGTCAGAAATGCCATCATGACATTTTCTATTGAGCAGTTTTGAAAAAAAATAGCACATATTTTACATAAGAAGTGGACTGTACGCGTAAGTGCAATTTTTTTGTATTTCTTTAAGGCATGGGCTACATTCAGTGAGTCTAATTGGATCTTTTCCCATCAATCCGAAGGATCCAAATGCAACTGGAATTGTTAATGTCCGCATGTGCCACATTTTTGTAATTTCGATTTCAAGGTACTTGTATTTTGATAGTTTTTGAAGATCTTCAAAGATACATTGCAGTTTACAGGGAGTGCCATGTCAATATAGAGGCACTTTTTTGTCTTTATTGTCTCTAATCCCATATAATCAGGGTGATTAGCTTTGATTGTTCTGTTTGTAAAGTCCCTTAAATTGTTACGGTTCCTATCGCCGTAACCGGGTTTGAGTGTTGTTCATACCAATTTCTTGCATTTTCCTTTCTGTAAACGTTGCAGATTTTCCAGTCCAAATATTAGCCCATTCCATCGTGTAGTGTTTTATATTTAGTTCGTGCCAACACCGCGCAACCTGATACAAGATGGTCGATTGTTTCTGGATATTTATCACAGAACTAGCAACATGGCCCGGCGTTGCCCGTGCTTGATTCAAAAATCGTACGACTCATACAGCAATCGCTATCACTTGACTTAAAATATTTTTGCCCATCCTTGCCTTTAAAGGAGTGCCCTCTGCCGTGCTGATGTTGCTACATGCTTTACTTCTTGCCTATCTCACACTGCGAATTTTTTCTAAGCTCTATACTAAACATTAAATCTGTTACGAAAAAAGAACTAAACAAAATGAACACAAAACGATCAGCTTTAAAAAAGGACTCGTAACTGGAAAAACCGAATGAAAAAAGAATGTTAACAACAAATACTTTTTCACACCCAACCCAGTTCTGCGGAATCAGAATCAACGTTGAGTTTAAGCAAGCGAATGAGCCAATTGGAGTAAAGTGCCATGCAGATTTAAATTTTTACCACTAGTGACGAATGCAGCTATCGATTTTTTTTTTTGCATGCTAGTTAACATTCGTGTCAGTCAGCTGTTGGCTTCCACGCTGGCCACTAGAATCTTCCTGCCTATTTGTGGCAGTCAGCTATTGGCTCTCACTTTGGCCAGTAGAAAATGACCGCAAACTACATGAAAACTGTCGTAGAAGCATGAAAAAATCGATTATTTCTACTATCGATGGGAGTTGGGAAATGCAAAGTTGGTCTTGGCCTTTCCGCTAACTTGGAGCATGTGCATGTACATTTTGGTGCAAATCCGTCGAAAATTGCGTTCGTGCATTCGTTACACACACACCCCCCCACATCCTGTCTTTTATAGATAGAGTTCTACATTTTGGACTAACACAATTTTTCAGTATGTGTGCTTGGTAATTTCTAGTTGTTGTCATTATTATTATTATTATTATTATTATTATTATTATTATTATTATTATTTCAGTAGTGTCCCTACCTTGAGTAACTGGTTACATAGACAATAGATTAAGTGGCAGTAATTTCTCTCATTACTTGCTATCCTCTTTTCAGTAAGGCTATCGTAAGCAAGGCCTGATTTTTCACTAATTTTCAAATCTTCCATTTTTTACCTTCTCAAACACTTCGTTAGTGTTCCTGGCGCACTGATAACGACCAACTCAACTCTCCACCTTCAACAACATTTCTACATCTTTCTCAGCATCCTGAAAATTTTCAGGTACTTATCTATATTTTCAAATTCTTTCAGATTTACTCTACAGCGATATCAACTATCGAGCATGTTCTCTTCTTGAGCCGCTCCTCTAGTCTAGATTGAACAATAGGCTTGAATCTCAAAATCCCAATGAATGTTATGTATTCACAAGGACAGAATCTCGTCTTCATCGGTCTCTGTGGTCAGAAATTAGTCTCTTATACCATAGCAAATTAATCATCTTTCCCATTGTTGACTGCCTCTTCTTTATTTCTATACAGTCTATAGTTGCTGTTTTATTGTGTTTTATTAATCGTCGTTATTATATAGCTGTTTTTTATGACATTGTTTTGGGACTTCTATTAAGAATAATTCAGTTTCTTTTTTTTTGTTTTCCACCAACGTAGATCTGTCTATCATTCTCTCGATATCTCTTCTGTCGGGATTATATTATAGTTCTTCATCCCATTTCTAGCTGCCATGTTTCCTAGCTTGCTGCTTATCATTCCGTTCAGTTTACTGTTGATTTTGGTTGTTGTAAATAATCTTTCCTTGTTATCTCTCGTGTGCACTTCGACCCTCTTGATTGTGACATCGACGCTATCTTCGCTCATAATTTTCTTTCTTTTGTTAGACAGCGTCTCTCGGGTAACTTATTTTGCCGCATAGGTTTCTGAATTCCTCTGAGTACGGATCCTGTTTACTTCGCAATAAAAATTACCCGTGTATTTTCGTAATTAAACTTATGCTGCATAATTTGCTCTCTAATATTTTTTTTCTTTTCCGAATTATTCTTTGCTGACTTTTTCTTTCATCTCTTCCTACTTCATGATATTTGTTTTGTTTCAAAATACCCAGGTTCTTTTTGTTTTCTTTTTCTGACTGGTTAGTTTAGTTCCTTTTGTTGCTTTTGTTTTCGCTTGTTCATTGCCAGAATGATACATTCCTTAATATTGTATTCCATTCCTGGAACTTAACTGAAGATCCACAGAGACAATGAGCAAATGTCGACGTTGCTCCCGCAAAATTCTTTTTTTTTTTCAAAATCTAAGACGTCTTTCCATCTATGAATTGAGTTCAAATTTAATTTCGATGACAAAAAGGTTAAAATAAAAATCAAGCGTTCCGTCGCTTCATGGAAATCACATCATGTCACGTTAATGTAGATTTTGTTCATGCGAAATGAAGTTCTTTATGCCGATAGCAAAAGAACAAAATAGAAATATTCTAAAACGTCTAATATGATGTAAAATGATAGATAGCTAGCTAACTAGATATGAACAGAGTGAGATAGATAGATAGATAGATAGATAGATAGATAGATAGACAGATAGATAGATAGATAGATAGATAGATAGAAAATTGCAAATGATTTATTTCTTGACTTGAAGTGTCACCTAAATACCGTGTCGCTTGTCAGGGTAAGATATTACAGTTATTTATATTATCTATTTTGCGTTCTATTTAAAATATATAATATAAATAATAAATAATAATTATTAGAGCGATACAAAGGGACATATTAAGAGACAATTCATAACAAAAAGAGGGTTTAACAAAAAAAAATATACATACTGCCATAAAATGCTAATACCGAAAAGCGAAGATCAAAGACAAAAATGATCTCAACGACTAAAATAATATCAAACCCAAGACAAATGTTATATGCAAGAAAATATAATATTTAAAGGCTTAAATCCTTCAAGCCCACCTATCATGTCGTGTGCTTATAGAGAGATGACTGGTAGGACTTAATGTACATTGATTCTAAAACTTTCAAATTATATTCGGAATTAATTTAAATGCCCAGCTCTCACAGAACTATTATTATTACTTTTATGCACCTATGCCTTTTTCTCTTGTGAACATTGGCTGCTACGTGTTAGTTGATCTATTCTTCCAAGTTTTTTTTTTATTTTGCCAACACAGTCAGCATCGCACTGACATCTAAATTGGTAAATTACCAACAATGATGGGAAGGCAGAATATCCATTCGGATTGGTCCCAGCAAAAGCCGTACACCAAAACAATACGTACGTTGACAAAAAATAATAATTGTTTACATCAACAGAAATCTACTTAGCAAATCTTGCACTCACCTCACAAATCCACGGTACACACAGACAGACGGATTATTTCCAGGGAGCAAATAATCTCGACTTATGAAATTGATGCATTTAACCGAATGCTAGACTCCACAATAGCCAAAGGGTAGTCATTCTCGCTTCCTAATAAATTCCATTTCAGCATCTGATATATAAATAAATAATGAATATTGTATCTTACATTGACGAACCTATTGTTGCCCTATGGTTTAATATTGAGAACTTTATTTGCAAAAATCTACTCACTTTGAATGTGCTAACCTCTGTTCTACAAGCCGACGGGTTTTGTAAGGCGTTAACGATCTTTATCTTCATATATATATATATATATATATATATATATATATGTGTGTGTGTGTGTGTGTACGTGCGTGTGTGAGAGAGAAAGAGGGAGAGAAAGGATATAAATAGATATTAACATATGTATTCCAGCTCAAAAACGGTTCGACAATAAAAAAAAACTTTAGCCGAGAACCACCCAGTTGTACATTTTACGATAATTACTTTCTTTAATTAAATTATTCTTAATAATAATGTTAATCCTAAGGATTTTTATAGTATAAGATTTCTACAAAATAATATATGAATCTAACGGAAAACGCCGTTCTACCATTCTCTCATAGAACGGCAATTTGCAGAATCAAATTTGACATTAAAATCGAAAGAAACAAAACGATTCATAGGAATAAAATATATCCGAGTCAAGCGAAGATAACATAACAACATATCTTTATACGAAAAAGAAAGTTACGGTAGCTAAGGAAATTATGTAGAAATTGTTTAAAATATATCCGATAATGGTACTGCAATAAATCGACTGCACAAAGCCACAAGCTAATGATTGGAAAATAGATGAGAGAAGAAGAAGTGATTTCACGTAAATTCTTTATAGCCTGTCTTCAAATTATCTTCCGGTATATGAATTGGGTTGGGCTGGATGTAGATATAAACGGGTAACATTAGAAGCATTTACGATTTGCAGACGGTATTTTATTAATATCAGAATCTTATGATGACTTTCAAAAATATTAAGGTAACTTAATAAAGAAAGATATAAGATTGGTGAAAAATTAATAGAAATAAAAAGGAAGCAATGTCCAATTGTCAAACCGTGTAAATATAATAGAGGATGAAGATCTGGAAGAAGTTCAGAAATATATCTTCTTAGAGAAGATGATATAAGTGATAAGAAAATGACGTATAAAAGTTTGGAATTTTTTTTTTTTGCAACAGAGATATCATGCAAAGCACTGCGCCAATTAAATCATTAATTATGTAAAGAATATATAATGCCAATATTTGATGTACAAGTGTGAAAAACGGAATTTAAGAAAAGCGCTTAAAAATAAACTTAAGTTCGCATAGCCCAAAGTTTATTATTAAGAACGAGAGCTAGGACGATTCTAAGAATGGAAGACAATCTGAGAACAGATCAAGAACAAATATGAAATGAAAAAGAGACGACAAAAAAAGGGAAGTAACCGAAACACATAAGAATTTAGAAATATAACCTGAAAAATGGTTAATGCTAGAAATGAAATTCTCTATTTTTCGACCAGGTATTTGGATGTTAGGCAGATAATTTGACACTAACTGATTTACAAATAGCCTGAGATTGTGGTGAAATTGAGATGGATTTAAATATATTGATAATACTTAAATATTTAGAGAGGATTATAATTATATAGATTTTTGATATACTTAAAATGGTTATGATGAATGATGTGCGTGCTAGGAATGGAAAATGGATAGCAAGAAGGAGAACATTAGGCATCTAAGGAGAACAGATATCGATGGATGTTGAAGAGGTTTAGGGAAGTATCCACCCGGGAGCCTCCATCACAGAGTAGCATTTCTTGGGTAAAGCTAAGTGGAACTCTGTTCATATATTTGTAATATGGATGGATTCAATTAGAAATTCAGTGTCACGCAGCTGTAGTCTAAATATCACTGCAATATTCCATTTCTAATCGAAGCTTAGTGTTGTAAATATAAATCAGGACTCAGGTACTTCCTGGAGTGGATTAATGAATCGTCCATTTTTACAGCATCTTCAGCAATAGTTTGCATAAACAAGTTCGACTTGAGATCCAGTAGGTTCATCATGACAGGGGAAAGCCCAGGGCTTGATTAATAATGATAGAATGACAGACCGAGATAGATAGATAGATAGATAGATAGATAGATAGATAGATAGATAGATAGATATGAACAGAGTGAGGCAGGCAGACAAATAGATAGATAGATAGATAGATAGATAGATAGATAGATAGATAGATAGATAGATAGATAGATAGATATGAACAGAATGAAAGAAATGCGAGTAGATAATATTGCTCTCCAACTGTTATGATCGATTTTCGTAGTATGCAATAATAAAGCTTAGTGTAAGATTGTATTCTGCCAACCTCACGAGTCTTTTTGTTATTCCCTTGATAATGTAAAAAACATTAGAAAAGTTAAAAATGCAAAGGGTTTACTGACAGGAAATCAACCTAAATAATTCGTCTTTTAAAAGGTAGGATGTGCTGATTCCTCTTCGAATAGTCTACAATAAAAATTGCACTTGAATTCGGTCGACATTCGATTAATCAGGTCCATTGCTGTAGGTGTTATTTCCAAGTATAGATGATGTAGATAACGTTTTATGGAATTAAGACAATTAATAACGGCAAAATATTCTTCGACTTTAAACAATTTATGAAGCATTTTTCATAAAATTTAATGAATTTCAATCTGATTGAAAATTATGGAAGATTCTTAAAGTTAGATTCAAGGAAAAGAATTGACATCGTGACATGATTGAAGGATAGGAAGTGGAGAAAATTAGCGATCAATATGATAAGAAAGAAAAAAAGAAAGAAAGAAAGAAAACAGAAAGAAAGAAGGAAAGTTGAAAAGATGTGAGGATAAGAAGCTAAGAAAGAAAGGATAAAGACAGAAGAAGAATAAAAGAAATGTGAATATTGTAAAGGAAAAAAAATGAAAGATAATGAATTGAAAAGAAAAAGTTAAAGAGAAAAAGAGAAATATTGAAAACATTCAATTAAAAGAAGAAAGTGCTCGGAAGAATTACAGAGAAAGTGGACTGTCTCGTGGTTAAAGCAGTTGCAGCTTTTCTACCATTGCGTAAGGTGGGTTTTTGAGCTCTGCTATAAACTAAGATTCCCAATACCGATTTTCCAGGTTGGTACGTTCTCCCTACAATGTATTTTGGCGTGGTAAAATTTCCTTCAGCCCTAACCGCATTTAGACAATGTTGCACTTTGTAAATATTAAAAAAAAAAATACACACACACACACACACACACACACACACACACACATATATATATATATATATATATATATATATATATATATATATATATATATATATTTCATTAAAAACGACAGACAAGGTACTACAGTTGAGCTTTTTATTTAATTTTTCTTGTGTTCTGACAAGAGCTTTCTTTTCTGGACAAAGAGTGTGTAAGAACTGTCCGAATGTTCTGTGTTTCCGAGCGCTTTCGGAAACTAAAACATCACTACCACACACTGAACATACATAGAACACACTCTACTAAGCTGATAATTGAACCATCCTTGATAATGGCTAAAGGTATAGCTCTTGTCAGAACACAAGAAAAATTAAATAAAAAGCTCAACTGTAGTACCTTGTCTGTCGTTTTTAATGAAACATGCATAAAGGAAGGATTGCTGCCTAAATATACAAATATATATATATATATATATATATATATATATAGAGAGAGAGAGAGAGAGAGAGAGAGAGAGAGGGGATGGAAAGCGAGTAAAACATGCATGTTGTTAAAAAAGAGAGAAATTCATAAAAGAAAGAAGCGGAAGGTTTTGTTGAAATGGAGAAAGAGAATAAGAAGTGCGAAATAGATGAGAAAGAAAGAAGCTAATAAAGCAAGAAAGAAATGAAGAGAGAGAAAATGAAACAAAAGAAAAAGAAATTCGCTGAAAAGAGAAGAAGAAATAGTGAAGAGAAAACAAAAAAGAATAAAAAAAAAAAGAACGACGAAAAAATAGCGGAATTATGGATACCATGAGAAATAAATTCAGTGAAGACAAAAAGACAAAACAAAATACTAACAACAACAAAAAATAAGATAAGAACAAATCCATTCAATATGCCCCAATATCTCATGACTCTGCCCTTCTGAATATGCGATCGGAAAGAAAATCCGATTATCCGAAACTTGATCCATTGCATTTCATATCTAGACATTTACTTTCTGAAGAAAAATATCCTTCTAGTTGGTGCTGTTAAACTGAAAAGTAAAAGTTCCTTTTCGCAATATAGAATCTTTAAAGCATTAAAATCCATTAAAATCCATTAAAAATCCAATCATCCTCCAAAAATAAAAAAAATATCGCAAAATCAGAAAAAAAGATATATTTTCGAAAACTACGTTGCGCGCCAGGTGATTGAGAACAAATTGTAATATATAAAAGCAATGTTAATAATCAGAGAAAAAAAAACATGTTCAACTTAGTAAATTAGAAAATATTCAATAAAACCGGTTTCAAGGTGTTCTTTTTCATGTGGACTTCAAAAAAAAAAATTGAAATTGCTGGGCCACTGGTTGTTTTCACTCACGATGATGCTCCAGAGGTATTAAAATCAAGGGGACCATCGGTGATATAATCGTAAAAATGATCGGCTAACAACTCCGGGGTCATGTGTGTTTTATGGGAGCGAGAAAAGTTCAGCTGGAATATATATGGATATCCGTTCGATGCAGAACTTTGCCGAAGTTGGATATAGGCGGAGGTATTGATCCTGAAACCCTGTGAGAAAAAATGACATGACATGACCCTTGTTACTCAAGACCCTCAGTACTATCACAGATGACGTATACTTCGTGTGTAATACCGTGGTGTATGCGCTGTGCCATCTCAAATACTTGGCACACCCTGCATGCGAAACATAAAATTCACGAAATTTTCACAAAAGTTTTGTCTTACTCTCTGCAAAAAACACTAAGAATGGATGAGAGGACATTTTGAATGCAGCAAAAACACTTGAAGAAAATTCCGGATGTAGCGATTGTGTGAGATGAATGTAACTTAAACAATAGTGTGCTGGGAGCGGTTGCAATGAATGTTGTAAAATGGATTGATACAGAGCCGCAAAAAACGTAAAAAATAAAAGCGAAACAATGAAAACAGCGTATGAAGCTAGAATGCTTATATGAATGTTGGTTATTTGAGGAGACCAGCGCTAATCACAATAAATTATTAACATAAAGATAGAGAATTGAGATAATACTAACAACACCCTTTCATGATTATTGCTAAATCTGAGGATTTTATTTTAATTTAAATAGTAGCACACTCAGAATGATCCAAAAATATTTTTCAACAGGTAGAGCAGTTATAGTCCTAAGAAAGAGTCCACAACATTGCTCAAATCTGATATTTGCCTGGAGATTTGAAATAATTTGCTGTCAATGAATTCCCAGCAATGACCACTGAATACCTCCTTTGAAGATCCGTATATTAAGGGAATATGATTTAGTAGGGACAAATCAAGAAGGGACAACTCAATACCCACTGAGTGAGCGCTGGAAAACACCCGCTGAGTTGAGCGCCGGGACAATTCAATACCCGCTAAGTGAGCGCCGGGACAACTCAATACCCGCTAAGTGAGCGCCGGGACAACTCAATACCCGCTAAGTGAGCGCCGGGACAACTCAAAACCGAGACAAATCAGTAACAGAAAACATAACTTCTTAATGACCGAATAAAAGTAATTTATTAAGGATTAAAACTTTAATTAGCAAATATTTTTCTTCAAATAAGTCTTTTGAAAAGGCACTGTGTAAAATATGAACGAGTTTTTTGTGTTTTTAATTATTTTTTTTGATAATAATTGTCAGCGAAATAATTTCAATAATTCACAATATTAAATGTTATAATTTTTTTATGAAAAATATTTTAGAATTTTGATTTACTTTATTAAAAATTAAATTACATTACGATTTATTTTATTAAAAATAATTAAAAACAAAACCCGCTGCATTTTAAGATTAAGGCTTTAATCCTTAATAAATTAGTTTTATTTGGTTATAAAAAGTAATTTTTTTCTGGTGCTGAGTTGTCTCCGTCCTAAATTGTTCTGGTGCTCAGTCAGCGGTGTTGAGTCGGCCTTATTGAATTGTCCTGAACCCGGAACAAATGACTATTTATCGCCTTAGTTTTTTAGGACTTTTCTTAGTGCGTTTTCTGAATGTAATAATTCCATGTTCTTATTAGATTCTTATTGCTGTAGTTTTATTATATAAGTTTTTCGATCTACACCCGATGCTCTTCACGATGAACAGCACGAACTTTTAAAATAGCGAGGAAACTACAAAAAGGCTGGCATAACTGTGACGATAATTATTGTCAAAGTAAATTTACTTCACCGAGTTGGGTGTTTACGTTGGTGCAGTAGCCACTGAAACTAGAATATGCTATAAATAATGTGTTTTCTGAATTATGTATTCTACCTGTTGAATGTGAGGTTAACGGTAATCGGCGTGTAAATGGAATTGGTAAACCTGTTACGTTCCCTTTTACGTTAACCTTTCATACGGTTACCTGTTACATTCCCTTTCACACGTATGGCCTTCATTTCTTCTTCTCTCAGCTATGGGCTTTAATAGCAGAGTAGACTAGGCTGTTTAACCTTGGGTGACAACCGTTCGAGGAAAACATCATTTTGAATCCAAAACCCTTGATGAAAGCAATAGGTAATATCTTTTATAAGAAGTTATGGCAACTCATAAGATAATTAAAACAAAACAAAACGAAAGCATTAGATAATTACGCCCTCAATGTATATGGCATTAAAAAAAATTCAGCCTATTCTCAGGGCCTTTTTAATAAAAGGTATTTCTGGTTTTATCTTTTGTTTCTCTCCGTTCCGAAGTGTGTGATAGTAATGTAACGAGACTCACCAACACAGTCTGTGATATCCAACTATGTATTTCGTAGTAAATTATTTCTTAGTTCAGAGCTTTCTAAAATAGTTGTACGATAGTTGTATCTCGGACAGCAGAAGTGAGAGTATTTAATATTTTAGCTATCGCAGATTTTATAAGTATGAAATAAAAGTGTGTGAGATATTGTTCAAGAAAAATATTTTGTAATAATAATTATAATTCTCGTGACATAACTAAAAATAAGTTTTCTTTTTTTTTTCTATTTTTTTTTTTTTCATTTTTTTAATATTTTTTCTTCAGGTGAAATTGATTCTGGTATTTGCTGTTGTGTTGAAATGGCATTTGAATTTGTAATGGTAATATATTAATAATAATAATAATAATAATAATAATAATATGAGTGGTACTGGTTCAATTCGGCAGGATGTTGGAAGTGGTATTTGAACAGAATTTGTGTTGGCATAGTTTTGAAAAAATGCAGAAGTTATGATTTTATAATAGTGGAAGTCATTGATTGAGGTCTTGCATGATGGTAGGTGTATGAAACTGGAAAATGTAAGATGGTATGATTTTAGTTGTTACTTTATTGCTATTGACGTTAACTGCATTAATGAAAGTTGTGGTCGTAGTGGTAGTAATAATTTGGTATCGTACTGAATATAGTTTTGTGTCTCGTGCTGTGGCAATGGAGGTGATGGTATGATAGGTGTTGTAGTGATGCTGATAGTACGATGGTAGTGGTGGAGATCAGAGAGGCGGCGATACAGT